AAAAAAAAAAAAAAAGTCATCCCTTCCAAGATAAATAAGTGGTCTCACAAGAAACAGCATGAAAAAAAGGCTCACAGTCAAAACTGGTAGAAAATACCTGCAGTCAGCAATGATGTCATCCATCAGCTGGGTACCCAGGACATCCAGTTCACTTGGTGAGCGGTTGGCCTTGAGAGCAAGGTGTATCTTCTCCAGGTTTTCTTCCTGCACAATAGGCAAGGAAGAGAAGCTGCAGAGCAGGACACCCCAGAGACCCACTTCACCCCACATCCAGGACCCTCCCAGTGAGTGCCCGGGCTGCTCCCTATGATCCAAAACTCCAGCCTGTGTCACACCAGGGCTCTGCACCTCTGCTTTTGCTCCTGTTGGAGCTCTAGGGAAATGACAGTGAAACACAGCAAGAAATCCCATAAATAGCTCAGGAGCTGGAGGAAGGTCCCTGCCTCCTGCACCTGCATCTGTAGGCATGTGGGTGGCATGGCAAAGGACTGCATTCACACCCTACTGTCACTCCAGTGGGGATAAGCATGGTCCCTCCATCACTCCTGATGCCAAACAGAGAACTCAGGACACTGACAGATTTCCCCTCCACAGCACAAAAGACACCAAACCCCAAACCTGACTCAGCCTGGAGATGGCCTCTGTACCCTCCCTGTCCCCTCATGCAGGACACAGAAAGGAAATTGACAATGCTCCTTGCCACCACAGCACTCACCAGCCTGTCTGCTGCATAGTGGAGAAGGTTTTGGGCATCAGTCCGATAGCTGATATCTTCCCAATAGGATGACAACACCACCACAGGCTTCACATTGCCCCATGGCAGGTAGTAATACTGACAACCTGGAGGGTACAGCACACTGGTGAGCTCATGATATTGGGGTGACGGGGGACCCCACTCCTCAGGAACAGAGCAGAGATGAGGGTAAGCAGTGCAGCATTTGGCCTTGGGCTGAAGCCCATCTCTGGGTCTCTTTTGGAGCAAGAGGATGGGAATTATGTTCCCCAAATCCATGTGCAACAGAGCAATGCACAACAAGGTCCAAAGGGATGTGCACTAAACCCCACGCTGCAGCAGCTCCTGCACAGCAGTGAGGCCAGAGACCAGCTCAGCAACCCCAGTGGGGTGAGAACATCTCATGCCAGAGCGAGAGCCCCAAAGGAGCCAGGGAAAGGCCACTCCAAAGCACTGAAGAGATATCTTGAAGAGATATGGGCACTGTTTGTGCCAAGGTACTGCCCAAAAACTGCTTCAACACAGCACAGAGCTAAGAAGTAGTCCTGGCTTCCCCACTCCTCCCCAGTCACATATTTGCCCTTCACAGCATGGCTGAGGTGGGCAAGGACCTCTGGAGGTCATCCGATCTAACCTCTGTTCAAGCAGGCTACCTTGAGCAGGTTGCCCAGGACCATGTCCTGTTGGGTTTTTAATACCTCCAAGGATGGAGACTCCACCCCCTCCCTGGGCAGCCAAATCCCAGTGCTCGGTCACCCCCATGTTGCTCACCATCAAAGACGGCCCGGCTGTACTGCGTGGTGGAGGCCAAGGGCAGGCAGGTGTTGTCAAATTTGTTACCATAGTTGCCAATGCTGACCTCAAACTGGATGGCATCGTCCACATCTTGGAGCATGGTGGCTGAGTAAAAGGCAGCAAAGAGGGAGTATTTCCGACGGCGCAGGTACTTCTGCAAGAGGCACAGAACCATGTCCATAGAGGAGATACCACTACCGCTCTCCTACACACAGCCCTCCACTACCCCAGCACACACCAGCTCAGCGAGGTCTCTGAGATGGAAAAGATTATTGCAAGGAAGAAAAGCATACATTGCATCAAGAGAATTTTGGGTGAGATGTTTAGGAATAACCTGATAAAGGAGAAGGCTAGAACTTTCCATAAAAAACACAGTTTAAACCTGAAAAAAAAAACAAAAGGAGCACATCTGCAATAGTGCTCACGTTGTGATTGGGGTCCTGCTGAAGCAAATCTCCGACCCCTCCATGTTACCATGGTGTGCTCTCCACCATGCATCAGCTCAGATGGAGCTAGCTGGACACCTTGGGATGGAAACACATCAGGAGACACCCTCCAAGAGCTCACTGACCACTCATGAGACATTACCCACCCAGGACCACCCCTTCCCTAGTCCCAGGTCCCAGGCCCCAAATGCCATGCCACCAGAGGGCCAACCCCAGAGCCCATGTGGTCAGATACCCCACAGAGACCCCATTACCTCCACCCGCAGGATGTCATCTGCGGAAATGTCCTCCACCTTCTGCTCCATGTGCTCCACCAGTTTGGTTTCCAGCTCCACCAGCATCCTGCCGCGATACGCGACTCCCTCGCCCTTGGGGTAGACCAGGGAGAGGCGTCAGGACCTCAGTGGCTCCTTCCCACAGAGGAGCTCTGCCTTTGCTTTCAATGGGCTTCATTGCAGAGGAGCAAGATCAGGCAAAGTATTTCTGCAAGCGCTTCCAAGATAGAGAGTGTTTGGGCAGCAGAGCAATATCGAGAGGTGTTTAGCCAGCAGGAATAGCCAGAAAACACAGTGCAGGCTCCTAATAACAAAGCCAGTTAGGGTTAATAGCAGCTTTCTTTTGGCAAGAAGGAGTGGTATTTTAGTTTAGGTTGTGCTGGAAATAAGCCGACGTCACCTTTCCCAAATTAAGTGTCTCGTAAGGGTCGGGGAAGCCGGTGAACTCCCGGGGGCTGCCGTAGAGGTTGATATAGCAGGGACCAAAGGTTGGCAGGAACCCAAGCCCATCATCCGCTGGGGATCACAGAGGCAAAGAGAAGTTAGAGAGTCCCAAAGGCACCGCGGAGAACATGTCCCCGGGGCTTTGCTGCAGGACCATGGGAAACACACACATGCAGCTGGAGGCCACCAAAACTCCAAAGCGCAGTTTTTTCACCCCCTTTAAGTTCTACTACTGCTTACCTTTTTTGCAGGAGAAAGACAAGGTGAGTGTGGGGCTGTGCAGTGGGCACAGAGCTTCCCAGTGCCAGGAAGGGTCCCCAGAGAAGGGGAGCATCACTTTTCTGGTGGGAACCAGAATAGGGAATTTATACCAGCTGAGGACCTGGCCCTGTGCTCCCCTTAAGGCAGTAAGAGACTGTTCAGAAGACAATGGCTCATTTTTATGAAAACTTGAGCAGAAGGAGCAGCGAAGGGGCAGAAATTGTTTGCAGGGTCATGCTCTGAGCTCCTGACCACACTAGACCATGAAAACATCACTGCCCAACAGGGACACCCTAAATCTGCTGTGGGGAAGGGCAGTAGAGCCTTTTCCCTGCTCCTGCAGGGCAGGGGGAGGCCATGCTGGAGCCATCCCCTCTTCCCACCAAGGTCCAGAGGCAAAACGCAGCCGATGCTGCCCGAGGTCTGGCCAGTGCTCCAGCCCAAACAGCATCTGAACCAGCAAAACAATTACCAAGCGGCGATTGCAAACCGAGAGGCTAAGGGGACGTACAGTCTGTGGTTTTCAGAGGCTTCGCAAGAGCAGGAAACTCATCTGAGGCACAAAGAAACGGAGAGAGGTTAGGAAAGACTGGCAGAGGAGCATGGAAGGAGGATAGAGGGTTATGGGAAAAGAGGATGGATGTTCTCATGGGCTTTTGTTTCTCACAGGCACTAGAGAGACAGAGAGAAAAAGGGAGAGGTTGTTACGTAGCCCTATCACACTTCCAGATTGGTGTGAAACAGGAGGATTTGAGCATCCCTGAGGGGTGCTCCACATGCTGCAAAAGTTGGATGGACCCGCAGTTCCCCACCACCTTCTCAGGATCAAGCAGGTCTCAGTGGTGGGATGGGGTACGCAGGTCCCAGGCTGACCCCTCACAGCCTTCTCCTCCCTCCCTGGCCTCTCTCTCTGTCTCTCTAGATGGGCCCAGGAGCCACACTTCAACTAGGGAAGGGGCAGGGAGGGGGCTGGACACAAGCATCACAGTGGAGAACAGTGCTGCACCCCAACTCCACACCTGCATGCATGGCCAGGCAGTGCTGGGGGCAGGGGGTGGGCTGTGGGACACGTGGCTGAAGCTTTGCACTGGGCTCAAGCCCTGGAGGCTGCTGCCAGCTCCATCTCATTCCCCTGTAGCGTAGGGATGCTCGTGATGGGGCAGGGGTTTGCAGAGCAACCAAGAGCCTCAGAGATGCACAAAGCAAAGGGAGCCAGCAAGTGTAGTTTTGATGTGGTTTCAAGCTCATTAGCAGCAGGAGATGCTCATGTGGCTAGGACCTCTGCTCCTAGCTCTGTGTGGCTCTCAGCGGCCCCACAAGCATGTCCCAGCTCCCTATCCTCCCACAGGACAAGATGGACCTCAACCCCCATCCAAAGCTGTGACAGCCTCAAAACGATACCTAAAGAGAAGCCACAAGTGGATGCACGAACTGGTGGTACGTGGCATCTTCCTGCACTACCAAACACTGCTACCCATCAGCAACACACACAGGGCACAGGGGAACTGCAGCCACCTCTGCACAGCAACAAAAAGAAGAAGCAAAACCTCCACCACACCATAGCCCTGAAGCCTCCCATCTCAACACTCCTAGGAGGACCTGAAGATCTTCAAAACCACAAACCAGGAGGGGCCAGGTCCAACCAGAAAACAGACCGCAGGATGGAGCAACCTCCAGCACCTCATCCCACGTCTCCTCCAGCACCGCTGACTTTGCAGGGACCATCGTGGCTGTGATATCCTCCAAGCTGACACCGGCCTCCAGCCACAAGCATGCAGTGCTCCTCCATGGCCATGCACCCCAGATCCCATCCTCCTGCCCCCCACTTACCCTCCAGCTCTCCGCCGGGGGCCGAGATCTTGGACATGCAGAGGTAGGTGGTGCCGATGACATCGTTGTGCGTCACACGGTCCCTGCAACACAACCCAGGATGCTGTCACATCATGGACCGGGGGAGTTTGCCCCTGAGGTCTCTCCCTGCTCATCCTGCTCAGCTTTCACCATGGGCAGGCACCTCCCCCATGAGCCCAATCCCCTCTCACCAGTCGGTCACGCGGATCCTCATCTTCTCACACATGGAAGGGAACTGGGAAAAGAGGCAGGGAGAGGAGCAGTGAGTCGGGGGGGTGAGGGGGTGGGCAGGTGGGTTGGGGGCTGTGGGGGCACCCATGCTCACCATTGCCGGCAGCGTCAGGCACTGGTTCCACTGTGGGTTGGCATTCTTTTCCAGGATCCTCGAGTAGAGCTGGAGGTGCAAGATGGGGAATGAAAAGTCAGTGCCACCCCAGCACTTGTGGCTCATGGCTGTGCTTCAGCAAAGCCAGGCTGCTGTGTGCCCCATCCACAGAGCTGGAAGGTCTCAGAACCCCAAAATACAGGCTCCATTTGATGAGGGGCCTGGTAGGGCTCTACATCGTGTTGGTAAACCCCTCTGTGCAGGAGGCAGAGGATGCTATGGGCTGCTCAGGGATCTCGTGCCCTGAGAACCACCAGAAACTCATCCCCCTTCCTGCTGTGTTTGCTCAGGGTCATGTCCTGAGCCTCTGTCCCCAAAGCTTTATGGGCAAGGAAGAATCTCAGCCCTTCAGTGCTGCTTTGCATCAAAAGACAGGTGGCAGCTTGTGGGCATATTGCTTGGTGAAGGCACTGCAGGGCACCCAGCAGCAAAGGGAGCAGGACAGGGCTCTGCAAAGCTGCCAGAATCACCTCCACACCCTGGCTGGTCGTGGGGAGACATTTGGTGGTGAGGGGACAGTTGGTTGCTTGCTTCAGGCAGCACCAAGAAGAGCAGCACCAAGAAGAGCAGCACCAAGAAGAGCAGCACACCCCTCCGCTGTTGCACCATCCCCTTTTCCCAGGAGCTCAGCCTCTCCACCCACATTTTTAATGCAACAGCACCACGAAGAGCCCAGTGAAGAAATTACTCCAGTGCAGCCTGGCATGCTGTGAACAGAAACACCACTCAGCTCAAAGCGGGCCATGCACAGAGGGACAGCGCTGGGGACATCATCTGAGCTCCTCTCAGCCCCCAGCTTCAGGACATTGCAACCCAGAGGGAGAGGACAGGGTGTAACAAGGGCTGATGGGACCTTTACAAATGCTCCAGCAAAGCAAAGGACCAAATTTTCCCCATGCACAGCTGCTGTCCCAGCCTGAGGGACCAGGGCGGGCTGCTCCACTCCAGCCACTCACCATCTTGCCCGCAAAGCTGACTTCCACAAAGGGATCGACCAGGTTCTTCTTGTTGCTCTCGAAGCCAAAGATCTGCCTGACGTTGTCCATGACAGCATCATCCACTGAGAGGGGGAGGACATGCTGAAAGCTCATGGAAGCGTGTGGCATCCTGATGGCCACAGCTTTGCAGGCAGGCAGTCCCACCAGCCAGGCTGTGCATCTCCATTGAGCCAGGTGGGGATGGGCAGGAGGGTAAGTACCAATTTGCACCAGTAAGACACTTAGCTTGCAGTACATTACAACTGACCAATATCTACAAAGTCTTTGGACCAAGGCTATAGATAAAATTTCCTCATCCATGCACTTATTCCTCTCCAGCACGTTGCAACCCACCAAAATACCAAGGGCTGGATCCAGGGCACTCCAGACCAGCAAAGGAAACACTTACTCTGGGGCAAGTCTTCAGCTTTGAAGATTTTCAGGCAGAAAAGAGCCCCTCTCAGGGATACCCCAGTGGGGCGCAGGAGGTTGCCCTCGATGTCTTCCTTGTCTTCAGAGACCTCCTTCTTCTCCAGCTGTAGGACAACAGGATAAGAGGAAAACACAACCAAGCTTCCCAAAAGTTCTGAAATTAGCAGCAAAACCCCAAAAGCCAGCATCTTGGCCCCAAAACAGAGGAAGATCAAAGCTGCAGCTTCCCTGGAAATAGGTGTGGGGTTTGATTGCCCAGGGGAGTGGAGTTCCATGGCTGGATGATCCCTCCATCAAGGACAGGGCAATACTCACAGGAGCTTCATCTCCAGGCCCCAGCACGAACAGGCTGACTTTCAGATAGCCCTTGGCACCCGCGGAGAAGTCCTCCGGGTCAGAGAGCAACAGCCATTTTCTGAGTAAAGCGTGTTCTAGGATAAAAAAGAGATTGAGACCCATGGACTGGTCCTCAGACATGCAGGGAGATGGCTTCAAGGATGACGTTGGGTGGGGTTTTTTTTATAACAAATACTATGTTCCTTTTATATAGAATAGAATAGAAAAGTTTATGGTTGGACTCAATTATCTTAAGGGTCTTTTCCAATCTAACTGATTCTATGATTCAGTTGGAAGGGACCTACAATGATCAACTAGTCCAACTGCCTGACCACTTCAGGACTGACCAAAAGTTAAAGCATGTTGTTAAGAGATTCTCCCTTGCACAACTCTTTACAGCTAAAATTACCAAGCTTTTCTCTGCAGTGATTGAGGTAGAAAGATTTTTTTCTAAGCATTGTTTTATCTTCTTTGACATAAAATAATAGACAAAAGATAAAATAACGAGCCAAATTCAAGACAAAAAAAAAAGTGATCTGGGCTGCATTGGTGGGGCTTTCCGCCAGCGAGGTGGCAGCACAATGACTTGAAAGCCTCAAGGACATACATCTTGGGAAAGGGAAGAGAAATGGGTGGTGATGACAGAAAGAGGGACACGTGTGGGTTCATACATGGGAGAGGTGTAATGTGTGTGTGCATTTCCCATATGTTTGGCCCCAAAAAAAAGTTTCCCAAAGTGACTCCCCCAGCCACAGGACATGACCTTGGCCCGGACCCTGACCATTCGCTGGACTCACTTGGCTCGGAGTAAATGGTCTCAACATCCATCTGTGCAACAAAATGAAAAAGAAATGCTGATGATCACCACGTGGGTCAGTGTGGTCGAAAACAGGGGGGAAGGGGAGAGCTGGCAGCCTTACCCGAAACTCCCCGATCACTGAGTCCGTCCGGAAAGACCGAGAGTCTACAACCTGTGGAATGAAAATATGGAAAAAATGGTAAACCCAGCCCAACGGTAAAAAAAAAAAAGCTAAATCCCAGGGTGGAGAACCACTCCACATGTCCTCCTGGAAAAGAGGGGGACATTTCTCTGGGCGCTGTGGGGAGGGAGACAGGGCAACGGCCCTGAGATGATGTTTGCTGAAGCTCACCGTGATGAAGATGGGCGCGTCGAACAACTCGGATGGGGACTCAAAGACATTGAAGAAGAAGGTCTGTAGGAAAAAGGGGTGAGGTGCAAGGTGTAGCCCCAGCATTTCCTCAGGACATTTTCATGCCTCCTACCCTCTTTCTGCCCCAGCTTTCCCTCAGGACATTTTCATGCCTCCTACCCTCTCCCATCCCCCTGACTCCGCAGGCTGGTGCCTCTTCCCCTCCTGTTAGGAGGGACCCCTACCCCGTTAATAGCAACAGCCCCCTGAACAGGCTGCGCTGGGTGATTTTGGTGCACTCCAATGAGCAACATACTCCAGTTTGCTTTTGCTGGGCTGGTTCACAAAAGCACACCCAGACCAGCTTTTCTGGGGGTCTCCCAATAAAGCACAGCCTGCTCCCCTGTTGGAGCAGGCTTTGGAGACATCCCAAAAGGCAGGCTTGGAGCATCCACTGTGGGGACCAGGCTGGGGACAAGTCACATGCGGTAGTCCACGTGTACCCATCCTGCACACCCATGTGTTGCCCACCCCTGCCTGAGCACAGCTCTGCCCAGGACATGCCACCAGGATGCTACCAGCAATTCTGGGATGTGTGAGTCACCTCAGGAAGGTGACCAAGATGAGCCCTGCACAAAGGCAGGAGATACAGGACCTGCCAGACCTCTCTCCTGCTGTCTGAGCTTCTCTCCCATTGCAGTCCCCATTGCCACATCCCAGCCTCTGGGCTCCTCTGGGGTTTCCATCACTTGGCACCCCAATCCATAACACTCCTAAGCCTTTCCTGACACCCCCACAGGTACACCTGGACCAGAGAAACCCCCCCTCACCTCATCAAAGAATGGGCTGTTTCCTTTGCGTATCCTGGTCCTCTTGGTCTGCCCGGCGGCCGTCACCTTCACCACAGGCCTGATGTTGACCCCAGGGAGCTGCCGGGCCTCGATCACCCTGACCCTGATCTGGGATGGGAGGGAGAACAGGGCAGTCGGTCACTTGGTGCAGAGGGGACCGGATGCACAGGAGGACAAGGGGAAAAAGAGCCACCATAGCTGTATCTGATAGCTCCTTGACATCTCAGATGTGAGTAGTCCGTGGGGTCAGTCCGGTGCTAGGGTGGGCACCTCAGGAGACCCCCTCTCAGGTGATAAACCTCCTACAGGGACAGCATGGGAGGACTTGGGAAAGTGGGTTCAGGAGAGCAGCTCATCCCCACCAGCCTCATCTCACCTGGAAGTCCTGCGGCTTGTTGGATAAAGGCTTTTTGGGTGAGCTCCTCCTTCGCTTCAACCCCTGAACGTGGTGTACGGGGGGCTTGCGGGGCAGCGAGGGGGGCTCGGATCCCGGTGGCCCGGAGGAGGAGGAGGGCTCCGTTTCATCCCCTGTCGCCATCTGATCCTCCGTCTCCTCCTCTCCGGCTGTCTCTGTGCAGGGTGAGAAAGGAGATGGAGGATGCGGGCAATGTGGGACCAGGTGCTGTGGGATTGTAGGGTTGGGGGGGTCTAGCTGGGAAAAACATGATGGTACCAGGGAAAGCATCCCTCCCCAGTGCTGCAGACGAAGGGTTCTGTTTACCGGTGACTGTGTCAGGCTCAGCAGCAGCTGGTGCTGGCTCCGGAGGGGCTGGAGGGGGGAACAGAGGGACGGCTCCCGGTGGGGGGATGTAGGATACTTGCAGGATGAGGAAAGCCTGGAAAAAAAGGAAATATTTGTTATACAGGTGTCCAGAAACACTCTCCTGCAGCCTGAGCCTTGGCACTGGATGCCACCCATGAGTGGGGGATGCTGCCAAAAAAGTGGCAGCAACTCAGTAAATGCTTGGAAAAAGGGGCAGAGCAGGGGGGCAGCAGGAAAAGTTGTCCCAGGGCCCACGGGGGCACCAGGGACGCAGGGTGACCACCCAGTCCCTGTCCCACTAGATGGCAGCCCCAGGCAAGGCTGAGCCAGACCGAATGCGGCATCCGTCGGGAAGGGAGTGGGAGGGAGATGTGGAGGCAGAGCCAGGGAAAAGCTCAAGGAGAGGGGAACTGTGGAAAAGGAAATGGAAAATTTAACAGGCTGCTCGGGCTGTGCCGAGTGCTCCTCACAGAGCCTGCCGGCTGCACAGAGAGGACATCCCTGTCCCACGCGTGCATGAGCTACAACCCCTGCCAACATCTGCCCTGTGAAGAGGTTTGACCCATTTGCTGCTGGGTTGTCCTCAGCAAAGAACCAAGGTGTCCCCAGCAAAGCTCTCCCCAGCTTCCAAGGTGAGGAGAAGAGGGGGACACGTGGGACGTGAGGAGGTGAGTCCCCCAGCATGGCACAGGAGGTCCCCGTGCGAGCATGGACCCAGCAGCTTCCTGCTTCCCCCCTTCCCAAGCCACTGATTTTGCTCCTTGAAAGGTAAATCTCAAAGTCAAAGAGTTAAGGACGGGACAACTGGTCTCCAACTGGGAGCTGCAACCGCCAGGGATGTTGCTCTAACTGGTCTCAAACTGGGAACTGCAACAGGTAGGGACATCACTTGTACTGGGCTCAAACTGGGAGCTGCAGCTGATGGAGAAATTGCTTGAAATGATATCACTGGTCCCCATGCAGGTACTCACCCCGGTGGTCTGCTTCTTGTTGTCCAGCAAGGGGAGGTTGTAGGAGGCTGCCAGGCTGGGGGAGGAGAGGACATCTCGCAGTGGCACTCGGGCTTCTCCCAAAAACCTGGGTGGCAAAGAGCAACAGGGGGGTCAGCAGGGAAAGGGGCCAAGGAGCTGGAGGTGATGCAAACCCAGGCTGCAGCGAGCGACCCAGAGGGCAGGGGCAGAGGTGGGGACGCCTGCCAGCATCCCTGTCGGGCAGCTGCTACGGGAGGACAGGAATAGGCATCAAGTGACTCAGACCCATCCCGGGTGAGACAACCAGGGCAAGCATCTCCGGGGACTTTGTGCCATTTTTATCTAGGAAAAGCACCCAAAAGTCCATGCCGAGGAACCAGGAACCATAAACCAAAGCGCTGATGGATTTTTCTTTGCCAATGGAGAAAACAGAGACACAGGGGGTTGGGGGTTTCAGTGGAGGTAGATGAGATCAGAGCTGGCAGCCAAGGCTGGTGCCTGTGTGCCACCATCATCCAAGAGTACTTTAAATCACCATAAAACTGGTTTTCCCCTCCTGAGTTCTTCCCTGGTGCTCTGTTTCTGGTGAACTCTTTCTACACCATGCCACCTCCTGTCCCAGCTGGCAGCACTGGTTTCCCCACAGACCAGGGCTGGCCAGGGAGCGTGTCCAGCACTACAGACCAACTCCTCCCCTCCCAGAGCCAAGAAACCCCTCAAACTGCTTTGAGTTGTTCTAATAGCATGATGAGATCATGGTACAGATCCTCTTGGAAGATATGTCAAAACATATGGAATGCAAGGAGATAATTAGAGACAGCCAATGTGCTTTCACCATGGGCAAATTGTGCCTGACTAATCTGGTGGCCTTCTACCATGGATTGACTGCATCAGTGGACACGGTAAGAGCTACAGATGTCATCTAACTGGACTTCTGTAAGGCCTTTGTTATGGTCCCCCACAACATTCATACCTCTAAATTGGATAGATATAGGTTTGATGGATAGACTGTTATATAGATCAGAAATTGGCTGGACGGCTGCAACCAAAGAGTTACACTCAACAGCTCAACGCTCAAGTGGAAACCAGAAATGAGTGATGTTCCTCAAGGGTACATACTAGGACCAATACTATTTAATCTTCATAACTGACGTACACAGTGGGACTGAGTGCACCCTCAGCAACTTTGCAGATGACACCAAGCTGAGTGGTCACTCAAGGGATGGAATGCCATCCATAGGAACCAGGACAAGCTTGAGAAGTGGGCCCCTATGAAGGTCATGAAGTTCAACAAGGCCAAGTGCAAGGTCCTGTACCTGGGCTGGGGCAATCCCCGGTATCAATACAGGCTGGAGGACAGATTGAGAGCAGCCCTACTGAGAAAGACTTGGTGGTACTGGTGCGTGAAAAATTGAACATGAGCTGGCAATGTGCGCTCTCAGCCCAGAAAGCCAACCATATGCTGGGCTGCATCACCAGCAGGTTGAGGGAGGTGATTCTCCCCCTCTACTCCCCTCTTGTGAGACCCCATCTGGAGCACTGCATCCAGTTCTGGGGTCCCCATCACAAGACAGACATGCACCTGTTGGAGCAGGCCTAGAGGAATCCACAGAAATGGTCAGAGGGATGGAACACCTCCTCTATGGAGAAAGGCTGACAGAGTTCAGGTTGCTCAGCCTGGAGAAGAGAAGGCTCTGAGGACGCCTTATTCCGGCTTTTCAATATATATTGGGGGATTATAAGAAAGACAGAGAGAGGCTTTTTATCAGGGTTTGTAGTGATGGAACAAGGAGCAATGGTTATAGACTGAAAGACAGAATGTTTAGGTTGGACGTAAGGAAGACATTTCTTACGATGAGGGTGGTGGGACAGTGGACCAAGTTGCCCAGAGAAGCTGCCCCATCCCTGGAAGTGTTCAAGGTCAGGTTGGATGGGGCCTGGAATGACCTGATCTAGTTGAAGATGTCCCTGCCCAGGGCAGGGTGGGTATTGACTAGATGATCTTCAAAGGTCCCTTCCAACCCAAGCCATTCTGTGATTGTACAATTTCAGACAGATAGAAGCCAAGAGAGGGCATTATCTGCCTGTCACTGGTAGTTGCCCCATTTGCTCATTGCAGCATCCGTCCAAATAAAAATCCAGCATCACCTTTGTGGCCAAGAGGGGACCACTCAGGAGAGCATCGCAGTCCCTGTGGGTCATTGTGGAGTGGCTGCTTCCCATGCAGGCAGACGACATCTTCCTGCGCCAGGAGCCGGGACCCTTCTCCCATCCTCTCCTCACTATTTATAGAGACACGCAACGCCACTGAGCTGGACCAGACCCAATTTCCACCTCCCTTGGCCTCTGGCCCAAGAGCAAATCCAGCACAGGCTCCAGCCCTGGAAATGGGATCCTTCACGTCTGGGCCATCCTCCCTGTCCCAGCCACAGCAGAGCAGTGTGTTCCCACCCTCCGCTGCCCCAAAATAAATTACTTCCTATATTTTTGTCCTGTGCAAGCAGCCATCCTGGCCAAAGGAGCCCCGCACGCAGACCTGGGTTGCCGGAGGGTCACCAAGCTGGGTGTCCTCGGGCTGGAGGTGGCACTACCGGTTGCTCTCACCCTCCTTCCTAACGCAGGGAGGTGTGGGGAGGGAGACCCCCTCACCACGGGGAAACCTCCAGAGCAGTGGGGGCACCAGGGGCTGTCGTGAGAAAGGAAGCCGCCTCGGGTGGTTTGTTTTAAGCAAACGCCGCCCTTCCTAGCTCTGCCGGCGAAGAGTGTTTAGGAAGGCAGCTTGGCAGCCAACGCATACCCCCCCAGCCAAGTGCCCATCACCGGGGCCTCGCGGCGCTGTGTCACTCCTGGGGCAGGCAGCCTGGGGGTGGCAGCGGGCACAAGAAGTCCCTGTGTGTTCCCTGCCCTCAGACGCTGTGTTTTTTCTCCCTGGCTGTCGAGCGAAGCAGCCCAGAAATGCAGCTCTCGCCTCCCACCAGCCGCCCCCTCTACAAAGGGCAGCGGGTGCCAGGGAGCCAAGCCCGGAGCCCAGGGAGAGCCCAGATGCCCTCACTGCCCACCCCAGCCCAATTGTGCAAAGCCTTGGGCGTGCAAGGGCTGTGCCAGTGATGGGAGCAGGGCAGGGGGCTTGTGCCCAGCACCCAACGCTTCTCCTACCTGTTTCTCCCCACAGTCTCATGGTCTTTCACGACGACAGTGAGCTCAGCGCCTGGGTCCAGGGGAGCTCCCTTCAGGTCCCACTCGAAGCCCTGGAGGGGAGGAGAGAGGAGCCAGGATCAGTGCCCAGCTGGGGTTGCGATGCTCACACCAGCATCCATCGGCTCTGGCACTGCTGGGGGGTCTTGGAGGTGGAGAACCAAAACACCAGACCCACTTCACCATCACAGCACTGACAGCACAGCATTGCCTGTGCCCCGAACAAAATTTGCCAGCAGACCCACAGAAAAAACATGCCCTGGGGAAAGGCGTCCCCTTCCTCACGGATTGAAGGTGAAGGAGGAAACAATGGGAGCTGGCACATAACATTTCTGCACCAAAACAGTGTTCGTTTGCTCAGTAACCCTCTTATTTTTTAAATTTTGACCCATGAAAGCACAGGTCAGGGTTAGAAGGAAGAAGGTGCTGGAAAAAAATATCCTCCCCTGGGCCAGGTTGATGAGTAAAACACGCTTGTTTTCCCCTGGAGCTGCAATATTTTTAAACAGATTCTTTTAATGTGCGTGCTTAGCCCTGATAAGATCTTGATGAAAGAGGAAGAGGCTGGAGCAAAGGTCCGTACAGAGCCAGCTCAGCCTCGCTCCTCCAATGCCAGCGCTGGGAATTTCGGATACAAAGCTGCCCATGATGAGGATCATCCCCAGACACTACATGGGGTGGCATCCCTGGAGCATCACCAAGCTCCTTGTGCTTGGGGCACCTTGCTGGGCTTGCACCTGGCTCCCACCGCACCCCCGTGCCCACGGGGATGGGGACAGGGGCACACTCACCTCGTTCCATACAGGGTTCACGTTGTTCTTGATGACTTTAGTCCTCTTCTTTACCCCTGCAGGGAGCAACACACATGAGTGAGGTTTCCCCACCAAACCATGGGGAAAGACCCCAAAATTCAGGCCCCCCCCATGCACAGGTCAGGTTGAGAGCCTCCAGAGACACCCACAGCTCCCAGAAGCAGGATCAGGCCCCCTTAGACACAGGCTGGGCTGTGGTGAGTACGGATGGGCTCCAGTGCCCCGCTTCAAGCCCCAGCCCTGCAGGAGCCTTGCTGGGAAACCCCAGGTAAGCCACCTCAATGTGCTGTGCCTCAGTTTCCCCATGGGCAAGGCAGCGAGGAGGCTCCCAAAGGCAGTTGGGTGGGTTTTGGGGATGGAAGGTGCCACCGGGGGGGGCCAGACATCTTCCTCCCTCCATCCAAACCTTGGTACAGTCCCAGAGGGGACCCAGACCAGTCGGATGTTGGCACACTGAACGGGGGGTTGGCCCACTGACACCCCCAAGGGATGTGGAATGGGATGCTGTCACCCACTCTCGGTACCACAGCTGTCCCGGGGAGAGGGGTCAGGTGGCAGCAGTTAAAAGCAGCCTAAACCCAACACCCTGGGGAGCCCCAGTGTTGGGGGGGGGGTCTCCAGCTCTGCCTAAAGAGCTTCCTGCCCAAGCCGCACCCCAAAACCATGACCCTCAAGTCACACCAAAAACCAGCCAGACGTCCACTCGGCCCCGAGGGGCCACGTCACGGGAGGGAGCGGGGGGAAGAGGAAAAGGAAGAGCCAAACAATAGCGGTGACTCAAACCCCGGGGGACACCGGCCGGGCGCCCGGCAGGGCCCTATAGATATATATAGGTACCCCAGGCTGTGGGTATGGCACATGGGGCTGGTGGGGAACCCAAGCTGCGCACTCAAAATATTGTCCTTTTTTGTCATTTTAGCATTGCTAAATTAATCTTTTCCTGCTTCAGATTGCAGAGTCTCTACTAAATCTCCCAGCCCAGAGCTGAACCAGCCGCCAGAGCCAGGCTGGGGCCGGGAGGGGGGCAGAGCTGCCGCCGTCACCCTGACACGGCACCTCTGGACAACATCACCAAGCCAGGGAGATGTCAGACCACCTTGATTTAAGGCACATCTCCTGTTTATGCCTCATCTTCCTGGGACGCCGAGCCCTGGAATTCCCCCTGCCCTCTCAGCATCGTGATTTCACTAACAAAAGCTGCTTTCCACCTGGAGGGCAGACGATGGAGCTCACCCTGGTCAAGCACCCAGTACCCACCACAGGATGAACACACAAGGGGTCCCGGAGAGGACAGGGAGCAGAACCAGCTGGGCAGGGGCTGGCAGCAGCGCCATTCCCCCCACCCTCCCCAAGCAGCACAGGAAAGGCTGGGTCAGAAGCCACTCATCCCTTTCCTTTCCTTAGTTTTTTTTTTCTAAAAATGGACATTTTCCACCACCGGGAAACGGCTGCCAAAAAAAAAGTGACATCCTCCAGCAAGCGCTTTCGAGGTGCAAAGGCAACACTCCCTTCCCGGGACCTCCGTCCTCCGATACCCACAGCAACAGGATAACCCCTAGATAAGGGGTTACTCTTATCAATCCCATATTAGTAATTACAAGACCTTAACGAGAGCCGAGCACAAGAATGACTGAGAGCACCCAAGGGTGCAGCACCCCGCAGCAAAGCTGGGTCCTGCTTCTTTTGCCGTGGCTCACCCCTGACACCCCATCACTTTCAGACGCTGTGATGCTGCACAAGCAGGTGGCAACACTCAACAATCATCCCCAAGTCCCCTCTCCGGGAAAAATCCCTGAGGTAACAGGATTTCTCACTGTCCCCCATGACCCTGCGCACCCCAAAATCACAGAGGAAGAGCGATAAAATTCACAGCCCGCCCCAGGGACCCTTGGAGACACCAGTGTCAGGAGCGTGAGTGTGGCACGGGGACACATCAGAGAAGGGGGATGGAGGGGGCTATGGTGCATTTGGGAGAGTGATACAGAGGGGGAATTCTGCAAGGATTTAGGATAAGGATGGAGATTAGCAAAGCCCAGCTCCTGCGGGGCGCCTGTACAGGATATATGCCCTGGCCGTGTGCTCCACAGAAGCTGGGCTTTGCTGGACAAGGCTGCAAAAGCAGAGGAGAGTCTGGCAAAGCAATAACCCTGCCCACCCCAGGTCCCCTCACCTCGGAAAGTCAGGCTGGCCACCGGGTCGCTTTGCTTGTCCCCCTTCTCCAAGTTGGGGAGGTGGCTGGCTCGTTGGAGCAAGCAGCGCAGCATGGCTGGGCGATGGAGCGGGGCACGGAGAGGCCAAGCCGGGCTCGGCCCGGGGCAGGATCCGGCCCCCCATCACCGCCTCCCCCCGGGAGGGCGGAGGAGGTGCCCGGGCGGCGACACGGAGCGCCCCGGCGCGGCCGCTCCGGAGGTTGCAAGACCCGGGATGCTGGGAGCCACGGGAGTGACAGAGACCCGGGAACCGGGGGTGCTGCGAGCCCCGGAGACGGGAAATTAAATCACCGGGATGGGGGGATGTTGCGACCTCCGAGGATGGTAAATAAATCACCGGAGCGGAGGATGCTGAGAGCTCCAGGGATGGCTGAGCACCGGGATCAGGGGATGCAGCAAGCCCAGGGGATGGTAAATAAATCACCGGGATCCAGGAATCCTGCAGGCCCTGAGGATGGCCGAGCAACAGGATCTGGGAATGCTGTAAGACCCGAGATCACCAGACACCAGGGATGTTGCAAGCCCTGGAGATGGTAAATAAATCATGGAGATCTGGGGTGCTGTGAGGTGCAGGGATGCTTGAGCACGGAGATCCAGGGATGCTGCAAGCCCCAAGGGTGGTAAATAAATCCCCAGGATCCAGGGATGCCGTAAGCACTAAGGATGCCCCAGCACCATGATGATTGTGTGAGCCTTGGGGATGGTAAATAAATGATTGTGATCCAGGCATGCCCCGGCAATGGTGAAGCACCAGAACCGGGGATGCTGTGAGCTTGGGGTGCTGCAAGCCCCACGGGGGTGCCTGAACATGGGGCTGCTGCAAGTTGGGGGTGCCCCAGTAGAGAGTCCCAGGGATGCTGCAAACCCTGTGTAAGGCAAATCCCCGGGATTCAGGAACGCTGCAAGCTCCATGGTTGCAAAAGCACGGGGACCTGGAGATGCTGCAAGTTTGGGGTAGCCAAATGCCTGGACACAGGGCACTGTGAGCTGCAGAGATGCCCAAACAGCAGACCCCAGGGATGAAATACCACCAGGGATGCCAGAGCAGGAGGACACTGGTATGCCACCTTGGTGACACAGGGGTGCCAGGACCCCAGGGGTGACACGCCACAGGGCTGCAGAGCATCAGCAACCCAGGGATGGTGCAAGCTGGGGAGCTGCCAGACCTGGCGATGCCACAGCACCGAAGACATCTGCATGGAGGCCACAGGGAGGTCCCACTGCCAGGCAGGGGCTCCGAGCACCCCACAGCACCGCAGTCCCGTCTGAGCTCTCCCCACAAACCTGTCCACAGGGCAAAGCACAGCCAGCACCGACTCCAAGCCCTCCACACCCTGAGGCCCAGCTCACACCAGTGGCTGGGGGCACACGTTCCCATTGCCACCCCTTTCCCAGACCCCCAGAGCAGAGACAGGGACTGTCCTGTTGTCACAGTCCCCGTGTGCTACCAGCTGGTGCAAACAAGGGCATGTGAGAAGGAAAAAGAAGCTGCTGTTCAGGCCCAGCAGGCGACGGGCTTTCCACGGCCGTGACCACACATGGGGACACCGTGGTGGTGACAGAGGGATCTCTGCCATGAGGAAGGTCCCTCCAGCCACGGAGCCAAGCGCCACCGCAGGAGATGCAGGCACAAGCACAGGAGTGCTGACACACAGCCTCTCCTCTGCTCATCTCACCCAGTTCTTCAAGCCCCAAAAACACACTTTTTCATCTCAGGGGCGCCCAGGGCATCGCAAACAAGCTGCGACGTGCCACACGCTGCCTCACTTCTCCTGTCATCCCTTGTGGGGGGAGGATTTGGGACCCAAGCTAGCGCTGGATGGGTTCCAGGAGGTCGCAGGCTGGTTGCGCCATGGCCATGGTCACCACGCAGGGAACCTGTGGGGGCCCAGCACAGCCCAGGCCCACCATTTCACGGAGAGACACAGGAGAGCCCCAGGGCCTGGCAGAGCAACAGCTCAACCCTGGGGTGCAGCTGAAGGGGGCACAGAAGAATAAATCCCCAACAAGAGGAAACCTCTCCTGGCTGATGGACATCGCTGTTGGGGTGCAGGCGGTGGGGCGGGGGGCTGGGGAAGCGGATATCTGGCAGATCTTCAACACACAACTGGCCCCGCACACCCGTGGGACAGCCCCTGTCCCCTTCCACGGGGGGGTCACAGGGGAGGGAGGTGGTGTCCCAGCCCCCACCGCGTCCCCCGGTGCTGGGGCCCCCCGCGATCGCCGTGCCCCCAGAGCAGAGCAGAGCAGAGGCCAGAAATAGCCAGAGCTGCTGGCGGTGCTGTCACCGCTCAGCTATGCTCCTCCGGGCCCTCCCCCCGCCCGGGAAGGAGGGAGGGC